TCTAGCGCGTACTGTAAATTGTACCGCGATACTAGTGTTCGACCGAAGGTCATTTTCTGGTCTAATACGAATCGGCTATCGCCATAACCTTTGGTCGAAGACGAATCCGCGCTGCATGCTGGATCTTGCACTGACTTATTGAAGTTGAGATAGTGATGCAAAATGGTGTGTATGGTACCAACGGATAGGTTAGTCATTTCTGCTAATATCTTAATTCTTACTCGTGCGCTCGTGCATCTTTTATGTAATACAAGTTTTTCGATAATTTGCACATTTTCTTCTGTAGCTGCTACGATTTGCCCACACAGGTGATCTTCGATGCTTTCCCTGCCTCTTTTGAATTAACTTAACCACTTCTGTACAGTTGACATTGAAGGAGGAGTCTTGGTAAACGGCTACCATTTCGTCATGGATGTTTTTTTGACTCTTTTCTTGTTTAGTGAGGAATTTAATCACCGCACGATGTTTGATTTTTTTAACATTGTCGAGTTTATGACTATATAACAAAAGAATTAATGAAGTTAATAAAAAATTCATATTTATACCCAGAGGTAGTGTCGTTAGCTAATGATTTTTTATATTACCCACATCATTAGCAAATCACCCTAATACCGAGAAAATATTGAACAGCCCTTGTATGTGATAAAATCCGTAATAACTAGTTTCATTAAAAAGCTTCTATAACATTCTCCTCATTTCATTAAATTGACAATCTTTGACTTAGATGGAATGCCTCATTTCCAATATAAAGTCGTAAAATATTCTAGGTATGTTCATTTAATTACAACTTGCCATCCAACTGCGTGTCCAACGTGCTAGTACATTACATCGTCCGTGTACACGGATAACAAATATTATGTTGATAAAACACTGTGACGGCGCTCTCAGCAATATATTGTTATCAGAATACACTGCTATCGAATGTCACAAAACCGTAGTACTATTATTTATTCTGTGACAAAGCACATTAAGCATTTGCTGTGAAGATTGCGTGGTCTGTAGGTAGCACAGAAATAGTAATAATATTGTCTATAATTACGATTTCTGTGGTAGGTAGGTACCTAGTCAGCGATTTAGGAAGCTTTGCGACATGTTTACGACAGGCACCTATATAATCAAAGGTTTACAGTTTATTTTAGTTTGCTGCAGTTTTTTTTTTAATATAGGATAGGGTGACAAACGAGCACACGCACATAGCTCACCTGATGGTAAGTGGTTGCTGTGGCCCATAGACATCTACATCTATCCTTGATTACGAATCAAAATGCAGATACGTTGCCAGTTGTCACCCGTGAGGACTAAGATAGAATGCCTCGTTTCCAGTAAAGAGGGTCTCCGGTTCTCTACACTCACCATACGAAACACAGCAGCATTAAGCTACTATTTGACGCTGGTATTATGTGAGAGCGTGGTGCTTCCCCGATCGAGCCGACCTACTTGTGCTACAATTATACTACTAATATAACTCCAGCATGGCTCTACCACGTATATTTTTGTAAGTACCTATAATTTGCATATGTGTTTTTATTTAATTCAAAAAACTTTGCAATTCACTCGAACAAAACCTTAATCTTAAAACAGTCCATAATAATATGTACCTAAATTAGGATAAACCTGTATCTCAGGTGTATGTATATGCTAATAGATACACTAACGAATATTTTCTGTTTCTTTTACATAATGAATAACATACCAACTAATTAACGTCAGTTTCATTGAAATATATAATCGTAAATAACTTAAAATAATCAGCAACTTTTCCGTATCATCGAATTACTTTTGTAAACATGTTCAAATTACATTTTTACAATCCGTAACCTTTAATGGATTTTAATGGATTCAAGTAATTGTATCGATTTTACTTTACAGATAAGGAACACGGAATTGAAAAAATCTATACATGGACACACCAGCGTAAGTTTAATGCTGCTGTTTCGTATGGTAAGCGTAGGAAACCGAGACCCTTTTTACTGAAAGCGAGACATTCCATCTTAGTCCTCGGGTGGTAGCGCATCTGCATTTTGATTTCTGGTTGAGGGTAGATGTAAAGAGCTACAGCATCCACTTACCTTTAGATGGACTGTGTGCTCGCATGTCACCCTTATTCTATATTTAAAAAACAATTCGTACTACAGAACTTATATTTAATAAAAAAAAACAATTATCTCTATTTGCACATGTCTCCTTCAAAAACTTTCCTGTTGTTTAGTGGCCCATATTCCGGCATTGTTTCATCACACTAGGCACTGTTTTGTTCCTAATTAAAAACTTTTTTTTGTTTCCATTGCGGTGGGAAAAATGCATATTGTTTGTGCTTGTTGCTGTGTGTATAAATAACATTTGCATTTAACTTGCACCTGAGATATTTAGTACAGGGTTTAACACATTGAGCCAGACGAGGACACCAGTGTACTTATATTCAATGGTTTCCGGCAAGCTTGACAAGGCGTCAATTGATTGAGAAGTGAGTGAGTTTAGGCACGATTTTCTATTAAGAAGTCCAGTTTTTAATTTGATTTCGCATATAGATGCAACCTGATAAATATAAATAAACTTTTGGACAATCCAAATTGTGCATGCCTCAAGCGCTCATGTTATACCTACGTCAAGTTTTTAAATTATTTTAAATACACAAGTTTTCGCACCTAACCTTATTACTATTAGTTCTAATTTGTCGATAATTTTATGTTAAACGTCAATAAAAAAAGTTTTGAAAATTCAAAATTGCACGACTCATAATGCTCCATACGACCGTGAAAAAATGTAGACAAAAATTCTTATTAACAACAGAAAAAACTTTTTTAATTTTACTATGTTATTAGCAATACATTTTTTATTATTATTAATTGAAAAAACTTTTAACAGAATTATCCTAAAACGATCAGAAATCATCTTTAATGTTACTTTAATTTTATTTACCTGACTAATTTTTTTCTCACAAACTTTAGTTCGTTTTCAAAAAGTGTTTCATTTAGTCAATACCAGAATTTTAATTTAGCATTCACCAAAGTACACCTTCAGGCCACTCTATCTATCCTGGAGGTAAGATCTCATCATAACTAACAAAACGAAGTAAAACTCAGCACAACTAATTCTACTCGTCGAGGATTTCTTCTAGTTGCAGATACCGAAGTACACCTACAGGTCACTCCGTAAAGTCCAAGACGTATAAGTATATTTATATATAAATCCTACGTACTTTTAGCAAAACAATGTATTGTAACGAAAATCTGTGGTTATAAAAATAATAACAACAAATATCGAACATTTCGGAATTTTTCAGCTGAAAAAAATTAATTATAACCAAATTAAATAAAATTAAACAGCCATTTACATTCCATAGCTTTCCACATGATAGATTAAGAGATTAAAAAGTATATTGAGTTGAACAATTGATGTTTTCAAAAGTCAACGTGCGGACGTGGGCACTCCATGCGGACTTGATAAATCTAGTCTACACACCATAAGCCACTAAAACCACTATTTTAATTTAAAAATAGCAATTAATCGGTTTCAAAAAAAAAGTTTAATAACCATTTATCTTTCTGACAATGTGCTTTTTATATCATTTATATGTTCAATATGATTGTTAGATACGATCTCATGCGACAAAACGTTTGATTCTTGATTTTTAGCGCTTTGCGCTTAAGCAATCAGTGGAGGGTTTGACATAATAACAAAAATATGGCACTCAGTCCGTCTCCAAACAATTCAGAGTTTTAAAATGTTTGAGGATGTAATACTTTGATGAATAAGATCGCGTTATGTAATTCTTTTTAAAAGTTCTTGATTTAAAAAAAAACTGATCGAGGTTGTTAAAAATTTTGAAAATTTTAACCGTTTGTGCATTGCTTAAAAATATATCATACTAAAACTAGCACTGGTAGTTTATTTTCAAGCGATAATAGGGACCAGGGATTCGAACCCGTGACCTCACGATCAGCAAATAACGCATTTACGACCGAAAGACCAATTAGGTTGATCGATCTCTGTAAGGGGGAACTGAGGAGCAACGAGGGCAAATGCCCCGCCTCGATTCACCTAAAATCCTGTGTAGGACATCGGATTATTTAAGTAAAACCTAAATAGGATTATGTGTGGATTACCACCAATAGCATTATATTGAATTATACGATTAATGTTAATGAATAGAATATAATAATTATAGTTGTAATTATGTTTGTTTTTCATAGAATAAAGGTGACAAACAAGTACATCACCATAGTCCAACACCATCCACATCTACATTTATTAAGAATCAAAATGCAGATACGATGTCACCCCTGAGGACTAAGATGGAATGCCTCGTTTCCAGTAAAAATGGTCTCCGGATCTCTACACTAAGCATACGAAACACAGCAGTATTACGCTGCTATTTTATGTTGGTATTCTATGAGAGCGCGCTCCTTCCCCGGTCGAGCCGACGCATTCGTGCTATAACCATAATATAGCTGCAGTTCACGAGGTGGCAGAACTACTCTTATTTGATATACTTATTAGAAAATCCCTTTGATTTCAAGAATAATTAAGTAACCATAAATTACTAATATGTATACTATATCTATAAGTATATAGACCGTGTAGTGACGGTGTATGAATATCCACTACCCCATAGCCTCCCGTGGGTTCCGTAAGAGGCGACAGAGGGATATTTGCCATAGTTGCCACGCTTGGAAAACGGGTTGAAAACCGCTGTGTTTTTTTTAGTCGTTACTAAGAGACGCTGTGGCCCATCTCCTGATTTGTTTCCCTATGTCGATTCTACGACACCCACGGGATGATATGGGCTAGTGGATATTCCTACACCGCCACTACACGTTAATTTGATTATTAACTCCTCAGCAAACATTATTAGAATTAGTTTATGGTAACAAATATTATTATCCATTATCGATACTGTATGTTAGTGTGTATAGTGCACAATAACAGTACATGTAATAGCTAATAGATAAGCGTTTAATTAATAAATTAAACAGTTTTTATTACAAGATGGTACGTACCTCATCAAAGTTGTCAACCATGAAGCAGATGTGGGGATAAGTCATCTCTTCACCCTCGCCCTTCGTGTCCATCTTCCGGCGGCTAGGGGACGCATACACCTGCCGGTCGGACACAAATCTTGAATTTTTATGTTTTTTTTTTATAGAATAAGGGTGACAAACGAGCACACGGTCCACTTAATGGTATGTGTATTAAGCTTTTATTTTACGCTGGCATTCTGCGAGAGCGTGGTCCCCTGGGGAACAAGGATCCCACCCCGGTTTTTCGTGCAATTTAAAATCCATCAAAAAATAATAAAATTCGTGCAATAACTATAATATAGTATAGAATAGTAATTAAATACAAGTGCAATCAAGAGAAAATGTAATAGTATAGGAATATTATGTTTCCGCTAAAAAACAAAAAAGAACTAAGATAACACAAGCACGTATTATAATAAGCAAAAATTATACAAATTAAAAATTAATACCTAATACATGAAACAATATATTTTAACATGGTTGGGCACAAACAAAACAATGGAAAAATTTAGCATATTTGATACATTTGTTATCTCGCTATTTCTCGTTTTCTTTTGTATTTAAGCCGGTTGACGTATTATCACGCCGCTGGTGCGTGATTTTCCAAATATTGTAGTGAAACTTTTTGTCTTAAAAGTTTAGTATGGTAAGTACTTTATAAAAAAACGTCACGTTTTCTTGTAACATTTCCCCGCCGGGGCCGCATGAGTACTTATACTATTATTTACATAAGTGTTTTTTTTTATTTTTTTTTAAATTTACAATTTCAATACAGGCTTTGGCACAATTTTTTTCTATTTGAATACTTTGTATCAATGTTAAACATACGATTAACATAATAGTTTGTTATTAATTTATACTTAAACAGACCGGTTCCACCTCATTGTATTAACACGGTCGATGAAGGAGTTTCACCAAGTGAAAAGTGTCAACATTCACAAGAGTAAATTATTTTTTGTTGCCTCAAGTATTATTTTTATTACCCATGAAATTTGAGCAGGTAAAAATATGATAAATTTAATTAAACTAATAACGTATGGAAATAAAATATAACAAAATAAAAAATCCCTAGCATAGAGATTGAAAACTTGAAGCGACAGTAGCCTAATGACAGAGCGCGGATCGCGAACTCAAAAAGTCGTGGGTTCGAATCCGCCATTTGACAACTGTCGTGAACCACTCCTAACACAAACGTTCAAGCTTACCAGGAGTGGTTAAAAGCAATATTAGAAATGTTAATTAATAAGATAATAATATATAATAATAATACTAATATTTAAAAAAAAAGATGGTATCAATAATTCGACTTCCGCAAAGTTTAAAAGCTTTACTAAATAAAGTGTTACCATAGTTATTAAGCAATTTAGAATGACAATAACCCCTGGGAATGAGGTGATCGTTACCGAGCTATTTTTAATTTGATTTCTGTAGTTAATTGTGTAACAGAATTACATGATTGTAAACTGTTGGTTTCTTTCAAAAAAACCTTTCGTTCTTCCCAGGACAAGGATGTTATCCAAACCAGTGGTAAATTAAACATAAAAGTGACTTTCAATAAGTAGGTACTATTAATAATCTATGTTGAATAAAAAGTTTCTATTTTTATTACATTGTAAGACCACATCATAAAGCTGCAGTATTTCGTATAATAAACAACGCAAATTCAATTCATGGTATCTTTTAGCTTCCTTAAAGCCGAAACCCTACCTAACTCCTTTCTTTTATCTAGATTTGTTTTTCGTTGTTCTTTAGCTCTGAGGAGTCAAGTAAGTCAAGTCAAGTGATGAGGAATAACTACCTTTACCCTTGTATCCAAACTTAAAATACTAAGACCAGTAAAGGAAAGTCGTTCTTTACTCAAAAGTTTTGCAAAGATACTAGGAACATACGCATGTTCAGTTACAAAATAGTTCTACTCTTGAACGAATGTGGTTAATTCGTTCAAGATTCTGCTATAGTACGTCAGGGTAATATGGTCATTCGGTTAATATGGTTACTTTCTTATAACTCAAAAACTACTGCCTTGTTTGCATTAAATACTTAATCAAATAATAAAAGGTGAAAAGGTCGATGCTTAATCGACGCCGTTTTGGCAGTTGACATTAGTATTAGTGTAGGGAGTTTTTTTAAGTAGATTTTTCGAAGTGTTCCTAATTATTTCCAAAGATTGTTTTTGCTATTTTTTACTTAATATATTAATTGTAGTATACAACTTTGTGTTTTTGTCTCTGTCCGTCTCCTAGTTTTGGTTTTATAGGGCGGCAAAGTTTAAGGTGGCCATATTACACTCACTTACCTTAGTTCACGTCTGATGTCAATTCTGAAATACAAAAAATCCAGACCATAATATTTCGAGAAAATAAGATCATCCAACGGGTAGTGGGGCAACGTCGCATGTGCCTAAACATTATGTAGCCTGGTACCGATCATTGATCCGTGCCAAACGTGGATATTTAGTGTAAAACATTACTAATAAAAAGTACACTTTGCGAAAAAAAATGTGCTCGCAACCGACTGTTCTGAACACACAAAAAATGACAAACGGTATGACCGTTTGTCATTTTGGACATACATACAAAAAAGAACATTTGTTAAGTTTTATATTTATTATTTACCTGCCCCAATCATTTGCAACTTAATGAGTCATTAGCTTGTTGCTTTTTACATAGAATAAGGTTGACATTTACTATACAATAAGGGTGTCAAACGAAGACATAGTCTACCTGAAGGTAAGTTGATGCTGTGGCCATAGACATTTACATCTATCCTCGATTAAGAATGAAAATGCAGATGCGTTGTCAATCCTGAGGACTAAGATGGAATGTCTCGTTTTTCGTAAAAAGGGTCTCTGGTCTACACTCACCATAAGAAACAGCAGCATTAAGCTGCTATTTTACGCTGGTATTTTGTGAGAGCGTGTCCCTTCCCCGGTCGAGCCGACTTATTTGTGAAATAACAATATAGCTACATAGCTCTATCACGTATTGCTTGGTGGAGGTATAGTTTTAAAAAAGCTGATTCATCGCGGCGGTGCCATGACGTGGCGCTGTGCTCGTGCTGCCAAGACAACCGTTTGTTTTGGAAACTCTTGTACTGGCGAGGTCGTTCGCATGACTTAAAATTATTTTGACGACAATTTTTGACGTTGTTTACTGAGAATTAATTTAAATAACGTACATAGCTTCTGAGAAATGTCAGTAAAAGCCAGCAATAAAAATAACGAAAATCTCGACTATTTGGCAGAATCAAAAGTAATAAAATAATAACTACTACATGTTTATACGTCACGGGTCAAAGGGTATTAAAATGATTTTTTTTAAGAAATTTTAGTGGTCAAAATATGCTATCAAGGGTATTTTCTTGAAACTTCTAAAAGAATTTGAATTTAAGATAATTATCAATTAATTCAATTATCATCATCATCATTACAGCCTTTCACAAGTCCACTGCTGAACATAGGCCTCCCCCAAGGAATGCCACAATGCACGGTCCTGAGCCACCTGAATCCATCGTCCTCCTTCCTGCATGTTACCAGGTCGTCACTCCACCTAGTGGGGGGTCCCTGTACACTACGCCTACCGGTACGAGGCTGCCACTCGAGAACCTTTTTCCCCATCGGTTATCGGTTCTTCGAGCTAATTTATTAAACTAATTCAATAAAGTGAAATATTTACTAAACATAATATAATGAACTAGCGATCCGCCCCGGCTCCACCTGGATAGGATCTACTAATAGCATTGTTTAGATTTAAAGTAATCCAAGACCATGCATTTTCTAGATTTTTCGTAATACATAAAATATAGCTTAGATTACACTTAACATAGCTCTTTATCTGTTCGATAAATTTCATCACAATCGGTTCAGACATTTTGAAGATTAGCCCGAACAGAACAGATAGACAGACAGATGGTTATTATTCATGTCTTAATTGCATGCAAGTAAGCCCCCCATGTCAATATAAGGCAGTTACTTCGATATTACAGACAGACATTTGAATTTTATTCATATGCATATAAAAGCGACTTTGGGAAATGCCCGAGAGATCTTAATGTTACCGACAGATGGCGGTGTAACTGTCCTGTTTATCCCAGAAATAAAGTATCAAGAACGGTGACGGGGAACGGCTTTAAAAATAAAAGACGTGTGGTCACCAATATCTGCCAAGTAAAATCCGTAAAATGAATTCTTGTAGTTGAGAGGAGTCCTTGCTGACTGTTGATTTTATATAAACTTGACGATTTTCCTTATGTTTTTTAAGAGAGATATCTACAACATTTGCAAAAGTTACGAAGATTAGACTATGTTTACGGAAGAAAAAACGTCATCACTTTTTGTGAGAAAATTTACAGGTTCACAATCCTCTTAAAGCTTATTTATTACAATTGGCGTTCATGGGTTTTAACTTTTTGCGCGGAACAGTAATCTTTTTTTATAAAATAAAAGTAGCCTAGTCACTCCTTACAACGTCAGCTATCTATCTTCCAGTGAAAGCCCCGTCAAGATCGGTTCAGCCAATTTGGAGATTAGTCGGAACAAAAATAAATTTTTTTTTTTACTTGTATTCTGTTATAGGTACCATGTACGAGTAGACTTTCATGTGCATTTAGTAAAAAGCTGTTAGGTACTTTGACATTACAAACAAACTTCAATTTTATTCATTTGTACCTATATATTATGGGTGTTTTGAACTAGCGCAATCATCATCATTATTTTATAACCTTTTTAATCCCACAGCTGGATGTGGGCATTTCGATAAATAATACGCTAGATGGCATGCATTACCTAGCAGATTTCCCTACCATCAGTACACCAGATCGGAGGTCTGATGTTCGCAGTGGTGATAACCTCGTACTACTGACGCTATTCCCAGCTACATCTTAATAATGATTTCTTATATATACCCAAACACTTCACATTGAATAAAACTATTTTTACGGATTTTATCGCGTTTAATTTACTATTTTTAATTCTGACTGGTACTGGAGTCTGGTCGGTTTGATCTCGGGGGACTGAGGTGATTGTAGTTCCGATGTCAACCCGGAGTACCTTC